CCACCTGCTGGCAACACTCTGCCTAATGCACCCCAGGAGACCATTGGCCTTCTTGGCCACAAGGGCACATTGCTGGCTTAACTTGTTGTCCACCAGGATTCCCAGGTCCTTCTCCGCAGAGCTGCTTTCCAGCAGGTCAGCCCCTAGCCTGTCCTCATGCCTGGGGTTATTCCTCCTTAGATGCAGGACCCTGCACTTGCCTTTGTTGAATTTCAAGAGGTTCCTCTCTGCTCATCTCTCCAGCCTGTACAGGTCCCTCTGAATGGCAGCAAAGACCTCTGCTGTGTCAGCTACTCCCCCCAGTTTAGTATCATCAGCAAACTTGCTGAGGGTGCACTCTGTCCCTTCCTCCAGGTCACTGATGAATACGTTGAACAGGACTGGACCCAGGACTGACCCCTGGGGGACACCGCCAGACACAGGCCTCCAACAAGACTCTGTGCTATTGATCACAACCCTATATATATTGAAGGAATTGCCTATCATAGAACATGAAAAATAAAGTAACTGCCTGCTCTGTGTTACAGATTTTGAGTTAGAAAATAAAAAAATAAACCACTTTCCATAATGTGTACATGAATAAAGATAAATATTTTCTTACACATCTTCTACTCGAACTCGCTGGTAATCAGAAAGAATGGCTCCCACAGAGACACCCTCGACTCCTTCCTTGTCCTGAAAAAATACAAGGAAAAACAAAGTTAGCATTGTATGCTGGCCTAAACAATGGAGATCCAGTAATTCTATTAAAGAATCAGCCACGAAGAAATTCTTTTCCCTATGCCCAGTACTTTGAATTGAATGGGCTGAAATACAGATCTTCCATAGAAGAGAGCAGTGCAGCTGACTTATTATATGGTTATTACTCTAAGAGTAAACTGCTCTAATCTAGCACCACTTTACAGAAGAAATAACTGCTGTAACTGAAAAATATCAGATTTAACAGGTTATCCCAGAGCCTTCCTGACATCTTGAAAACTCTTCTCTATAACCGAAATGTCAATTATTCCACCTACAAATAAATACTAGCAACACACAATCATGATCATTAAATTTCAGTTTAATTGTATATATGTCACATGGTATATGTGCCACAATGTCCAGTGCAATAGCGTTTGAGATTACTATTCTTATCCTAACCCCAGAGAAAGAGATACTTGCAGGCAACTTACTTAATTCTGCTGTAAAGAAGGTTTTTCAAGCCACATTCTCTTTGGAGTGGTGTTTCTATTTCAGTTACTTAAGCCATCGATTCTCTATTTTTCTTTTAGATACAATGAGAATGTAGCATTTGAAAGTCCATGTACTTAAAATATTTCATGGGCTTTTGCTTTTTTATCTCGAGTCCCAAGCAATATGCTGTATTTACTACAAATTTAATCTAGTTAGACTTTAGTTAAAGTTGTTCTGCTTTTTTAAGCAACGTTGATCATAACTATAAAGGAAGATCTACTTCTGAGGCTGCTTTGTTAGACAGCAACTCTGTGATGTTTACAGTAAGACTGTATTACAAAATTTTCACCTATGTGCTTAACATATGTATTTTGAAATTAAACCACTTTTTGCCTGCTATGGTACTGACCTGAAAATTCCCTTTAGTTTCTTATCAGTAAAATATTTTACTCATAATTACCTTGTAGTGGACGAGTTTCTATTTTATGTCTATGCTGAGCTACCTGATATTATCTTATTCTTCTTTACATTAACTCATATTTACTCAACCAAATTCCTAAGTCTTTCACATCCATCTGTACTTCTGATTTAAGATTCTATGTATTTATCAAAACTCTTAGCTATAATATTGTAAATTTGATCATTGTTAGATTTATGTACTTCTACATATCATTAATGGATATATCATTTAATACTAAAATCAATGCCAAATGCTGTAGCATTCACATATTTTGAATTAAGAGTACTGACAAAAATTTATTTTAGCTTATCTATCACTACCTTATTATCCACTGCCTGTTTTATTATTATTGCTACTATTCAGACAAAATTACTTTTGCTTCCCTTTGAGCTTTCTGTGCAACAATGTTTCAAAGCTCTTTTCAGAGTAAAGGTAAATCAGACATTCCATTTCCCTCAACTCTCTGATACAGAATTTTTTTTTTAAAAAAGCTAAAAAGTGTATGTAACTAGAATTTTCATTAAATAGATTCTATCTCAAAATAATTCATAAAACCTCCTCGGGTCTTGAAGTACACCTGAAAGGTTTCCCACATGTTCCTTTGTTCCACAGAATTTTGATCGCAGTTTACCCACACTGCTACCAGCATCACTTTGCACTTTCATTCCACTCAAAGGTCTAAAGTTCTTTTAAAAATTATATAATTTAAACCCATAATAGTCTTGTAAAGCACAGCAGCTAAGCACTGTTTGTTCATATTTTTATGTAAGAATAAAAAACTCATTTTGGCTAGGATTACTGGATCATAAAGCAATTGCAATGTAGAACAAGAACTGCAGTTTAAATAAACAAATACAATTGTGAAACAGTTGGAGCTCACCTGACCATTGTAACTGTGCCTTTTTATCCTCTATAGAATACTAATATATTAATGTCTTACTGAACCTAACGGGCAGGATGCTACTATAACAAATGCAGCTTACTACTTCATCTGCAACAAATGTTTCTGTTGATGTACAGTCAATTATTTTGGGATAATCATCTGTGTCAAAGGCAATAATCTTGAAGTGGTCCAATCTGACATTATGAATCAATAAAAAATCAACTGCACCCAAACTACAATATACTATAAAATGTCATTAGAACACCTTTTGATGACAGAATCTAGAGGAAAGGAGAATTTTAGAAGACTTGTCCAGGATTCAAGACTTGAGTCCCAAAATATTTTCTTAAATCTTCTTCTCACATCAAGATTATTTTTCTTTTATTAGCAGTCCTTCAAAACAATTAATACAATAATAAATATATATTAACTGCCCATATTTCCCAATCACCACATGTCTTTCTGTGTGGAAGAAGGAAGCAGCCTGTCCTTTCTGTTCAATACAGTACAGTATTTGTAATGGAAACCTTTAGGTAGTCCATATTGTTGTATAATAAAACCAGAGATAATCAGATTAGCGCTCTATATATTTTCAGTGGATGTTGATAAGAGGTTTAGGGTTAAACTTATAATTACATATTCATGGTTAAACTGTGCCTACAAAGACAATTCACAGAATAGGATTCCACAGTGCTTGGAATTGCCTGTACAATATTCTTACAAAGAAAGTCTGAAACAAAGAACAATGACTACTGGCTTATGTTTACCAGCCCATAGATATGGCAAAACTTAACATATGTTAAGTCTTTCATGTCTAATAAAGAGAATTTTTACATTATTTATGGGTAAGCTCCTCATTGCTACAGACAGATGACTAAACCTTATCAACATTTCTCAGCACAGGCATTGAACAAAATACTGCTGATTCACCTTAAGGATCTGGTGAAAGGAAATTTACTTAATCATGCTTCTGACACAGATCCCAAAAGCAGTCTCAGAAAGTTCTGTTACATATTATCTCTCTCTGAACATTCCTTTTTGTGAGAGTCTTGAAATATCAATGCCCCTTAGCTTACCACCTTACCTTATTAAAGTCTACTTCTCAGCACATGCAACCAATGCAATCATTGATATCTTGAGCAGAATAACCTAAAGGCTGAAAAGCAACAGGATCAAGCTTAACCTGCAGTAAATAGAAGATAAACTCACTTAAGAAGTTGGTTCTATTACTGAAGAGCTCCTTGACCATCAATAGAATGGACCACTCCTGAGATCTCACTGGCCTTGCTATTCTTCATCAACTCTGCCTGTCCAGAATGACGTAGAATGTCATCTTCTATTCAGTTTTATCAGAAAATAGTTCATAGGCAGAAGAAGTTAATTGTATTTTTCTCTATATAATGGAAAACTCAAAAGATGAAAGCAGTACCTTTGGACCTACTTCTTCCTATCTAACAGCATATAATATATCAAGAATCAGTGCCACTCTTAAACCAAGAGATAAAAAGTTCTAAAGGAAACCAAAATTTTTTGTGGTTACAATTTCAACAGATAATGGCCCTTAGGTCATTAATCATATCATTCCATATTTACTGAAAACTTAGGCAAGAATTTTGGAAATGAATCACACTCAGTTGTCCACCACAGCTCATAATAATACCACTAAACTGCACAAGGTCTATTTATATAGACTAGTTTGTAAACTGTCTTCTGTGGTCCAGCGGAAGCAACTGTGGATCACCATAGATCCCTGCAATACCTGTTGACAGGATAGGTCAATATCTAACTGTTCATGTAATACCACCTGGTCTACCTTTGCTTTTGCAAACAGACTTGGGACTCTCACTGTAAAGTATATCCAGGCTAGCACAAACAAGATGACAATACATATCAATATAATAGGATTCCGATTGAGGGAGAGATGTATCCAACATAGGAGGGAAAAGGGGAAGACTAAAAGAAAAAAAAAAAACACTGGAGAAAAGTATCTGTTTTTATATGATCATAAAGCAGACTGGAGACTTTGGGCTAATGAGAAGGGAAAAATAAAACAGAATTAGTGAATGATCCAGGGAACAGCAAAATCAAAACCACAAACCAATCCTACAGTTCCTCAGCATTAGAGACGCTGCATGTTCAAATGCTTTTTCTTTACTACTTTCTCATGCAAAATAGCATAAAAATACAAATGATATACCATATCTAATATATGAAGAACCGCTGGATATACACGGGGTTTTTGCAGCTAGCCACCAATTTGGTATCTACTACATTACAGCTACACTAGAATTCCATTCAAACAGTAAACAGTCATTACTTCGCAGGACACATTGGGCTCAATTATGACAAGAAAAACTGGAAAAATTCGGGAAAAAAGCACGATGTAGAAAAACTATTCAGCTATTCTACTGAGTATACCAGCATATTTTTTTTACTTCCATTAAGTTAATAGGTAAAAACATTTATATTACATTTTGTTAAACAGAGTTGTCTCTAATCTAATTAACTTTTTCAGATTCCTTTAAGATATAAATAAATTTATTCTTACAAAGAACCATGTGCACTACAATGTTTGAAAGTCTGATAAAAGACCACCTGGTTCACTGATTTAACATTTTATTAAGACTTTATACATATATAGCAATATCACACAACACAGTTTTATTACTGCTTGTTTGAGTTGACCTTTCTGGCTAAATCCATCAAGATACGTAATAGCATGCTTAATGGTAAGATTGCAACTATTCCTTTTGACTTCAGCAAGATTTTGCTTTAAAGTTTTGCATGCTCTAATTTAGATGGCTGTGCCAGGCAAAAATAATAATAATTTTATTGTCACACAGGAAATAATATTAACTATTTATTTGTATATTGCATATTACATCTTACAGACATCCATCTCTGTTTCCTTTATAGGACTCTTTTTTATACTTGGAAAATACATCTTCCAAAGCACAGTTCTTAACTGTTAACATCCACTAAATAATTTTGAATTTTCTTACAATCCTCTCTTACTTACGCTGCAAAGATAAAACACCCTTTTTTTTCCATGCAAGTTTCAGCTCTCAAACTAGCATCACAGTTGCAACTAGCACAATAACTTTTGGAAGTACATTGAGAATCATATCACATTACTTTAATATTAATGGATAGCAGATT